TTCACGGAGTACATTACGGAGGAAATTAGTGACTACAATCAGATCGTTTAAATTACATCAACATTTAAAATCGTCAACGCAGTGCACCTTCGAGTTTCATTGTCATCGTCAGTGACTCCGTTAATGGCTGAATCGGTAGCTTACGGGGGCACTTCACACTGACGTCTATTAGTGTGAAACAGTCGAACCGCCGGCGAAGACGAACACAATCTCAAACTGTAGCAGTTGCCTACGCTCTAAATTGATGTGCGTAATGTATATTTTGCTTCAATTACAGATCCTACCGAAAAACGAATGTATAATTCCAATAATCATGCTTCGAATTTCCAAAACCCACATTTAGGGTTTCAATCCACCAACATGGAAATGTTGATTACCAATGTTTGCTTACACAGGTTCAAACATTTCATCAAAACGAGGGAAAACTATAGAACCCTATAATGCGCTCAATGTCTAGAACTGTAATTTTATTAATACCCGATACCTACATTGCCCTCCAATGGAAAAAAAACACAGCGCGCATGGTGGAAGATAAATGTGCCATTTCCTACATTCCAGACTTTTTGGTTTAGCAGAAAAGATGCGGGACTAATCTATCCATAAGTCTATAATTTGGGATTTATTGATGTTTCACCCTATTAACAATGACAAATTACATACATATATATATATATATACATTTTACGCACTAAAAAAATGTGTGAAGTTTCGCAATGTTATTCTTATTAATATTTATAGCGACAATTAGAGAATGACATTTTTAGAAATAGAAATCTCACCATTGCTATCTAACTGGACATGGGTACACGCTACTTGTGTGCAATTTATAATTGAATATAACAATTACAATGATTATTTTAAACAACTTATAGGTAATTGAAGTAGTTTATAGTAATTACAAATTTTTATATCATTTAAACTCAACTTTTGCAATATCAATTAGAGAAAAGTATTTTAAATTTTTTTTGTATGATATCAAAATCAACTCTTGTTAAAAGTCAAATTTTTTAACTTTTTTTATAAAAAAAAATTGTGAAAAAAATAGAGAGGCTATGTGACCCAAAAAAGTAAAAAATCTAACTTTTAACCTAATTGTCAAAATAGGCAGGGTTGAGCTTATATTATATTCACATATCAACATGAAAGAGCATTTGTTCAATTTTGACGATCCGAACCGTTCATTTATTAGGGCCCTTAATGTACATCATTGATGAGAAAGTTATGTCAATCTGATAATAGAATTTTTTTATTTTATCTTATTTGTCTATAAAAAAATGAATGGTCTGTTTTTAAAGATATATTTGACGTCAATTTTTTTTTTTAAAAAACAAATACAATAAATAAAAAAGGTTATGATTATTAAATAAAATAACTTTTTTACAGATTATATGCATTGAGAGTCTATAAAATAAATAGTTTTGATTATCGAAATGAGACATGTGGGTCCGTTAAATTTTCACATGTTAAAATGTAAACACAAGCGAGGCCAAACTCATAATAATAATAATACAATAAATAATTTTGAAAGTGACACAACAAATAATAAATAAAATATATTATATACCCCATATTATTGCCATCGATTAGCTACAAAGTTAATTTGCTGATTTAAAAATAAACAAAATTAATGCAAAAAAATCAGTTTACTTGATACATTTACATTTTTTGACTTTTAAAATATTTATTAAATAATTAAAATGAATTTTTTAAATTAGAAATATGAAATAATTTTTTGTTAACAAATAATTTTTTAGTCCATACATTAATTTTTCCAGTGGCTTATCTCTAGTCTAAAATCAGATTGGAGAGTACTGTTGGACCTCTGCAGGCCTACCACATAACTCACGTCAATAACTTGAACAGTTAAATATATGCATCTCGTCGATTGCTTCATTATTGCAAAAAAAACACGTTAATTGAATATTGATAGTCACTTGATCAGATCAAATTTGTGTCAACGATAATTATTATTTTAAAAATAAATAATTTGCACAAATATAATATGATCAAGTAGTTATTAATATCCGATCAATGTAATTTTTTTAAGAATAAAATACTTAACAAATCTTACATATTAAATAATTTAAATCGTCGAGGTGAATTTATAAAAAAACCCATAATGGGTCAGATTGAACCATTCAATGGCTAGCCAACTGGTGGGAGAATTCTATTTACACCCAAAAAATATTTAAGTGAGCCTAATTTTCTAGTACAACCTATTAAATTATTTAGAGTTACAATTTATTCTTAGTACACCTTATTTTTTTTAAGAAAATTATCCTTTTAAGGTACACTCAAATAAAATAAATTTAAAAATTCAAATTACTTTTGAAAAATATTTCTATTTGGCAAGATGGTCTGTGGTTAAAATAGCCACAAAAGACAAAATAGGCTATTTTAGTCACAACAAACAAAACATGACATCCAATCCATAATTATTACACTTTTCTCTCACAAAAAAAGTCAAAAAGTCAAAAAGTCATTCCCAAACCAAGTTTTTAGCCCAGGCTAAAATAGCCAAAAAAATCAAAAAGCCAATCCACTTTCCAAACGCGACACCAGTAAATGAGGATGACGAAGTAAAAACATACAGATCACGTCGTTGGTTTAGTAACGTCAAATTCAGTAAGACCAACAATGTTTCTTCTTTTACCAAGTTGAAATTAATAAGAGACGTGAGAGATAATAATGGTGGTCACGACAATTCATAAAGCAAACATAATGCATTGTTGGGTTGTATGCTCTTTAAACAACCTTGAGATTATTGAGTAACCAGTAATATGATACAAGTATATGACCAAGAAAATTATTTATTTTTAATTTTTGACTAGGCGTTGATTTTCGAATTTTGGATTTGGATAAGAGTATGAAAGACAAATGGATAATCAAAAGCTAGGTTATATGTAATTTTGCATCTGTAAAGTTTTATATAACCACTTTGTTTAGCTATACGTAGTCAATTTGGCAGGCTAGATTAAAATTTTGGAATGTGGAAGAATAAGGGAAAACAATTGAAACTTGGAGAAAAAGATGAATAGATTTGAATAGGAAAAATATGTATAAAGATGTACCATCAGAAAAATAATAATTTATTTTAAGATTTAATATGTATTATTTTTATTAATAAATTGACATTAAAATATAATAAAAATTTAAATTAAAATTGAACATATTGAAATAATTTTTGAATCTAAGGTCAAGTTTGGCAAGTTGAAAAAAAAGCAAAAAAATCAAAAAGTTACTCAAAAAGTTAAAAAGTTATCACTATTCACCAAAAGTCAACAAGTATGGCTGCACAACTCCCAATTCTAATTTTCCCCTACACACTAATTTATACAATTTTTTAATACACATTTTTCCATAAAAAGTCAAAAAGTTAACCCAAACAACCATATTTTTTTCCTCAATTTTTTTAGTCCAAAAAGTCAAAGAATGCATTATTTAGGACATCCCAAACAACTCCTAAGAGTTCGTTTGGGAAATGTGTTGACTTTTTAGTTATTTTAGTTTGGGGTTAAAAAGCCTTGCTTGAGATAGATTTTTTGATTTTTTTGACTTTTTATAAGAGAAAAAAATATAATAATTATGAATTAAATGTGACATTTTATCTTATTAAATTAAAAAGTCAATTTTATCTTTTTATAACTAAAATAATCTCAAACCCAACCCAACCCAACCTAACCCAACCCAACTTGCCAAAACGAAGGCTAAATAAAATGGCACCAACTGGTGACAGCCCAAGCCCACTAATTTTGAAGCCATAAGGGGGAGACGTGGTAGACCACAGGTCAAACGCCACACTCAACAACGTACACGTGGGACCTGCCCAAATACTGCATCAATTTGGCTTTGCTTTGTGAAGGTGAATGAAGAAAAACGCAACAAAGAATATAGACTTATACACTCGTTAAAAAACAGAGTAGTGAATTATACACTCGTTAAAAAAAGAGTAAATTACCATTTTATATATTTTATATATTCATTTTATTTTTTTCCTTACCAAAACTCTTTATATTTTACATTTTTTTCAGTTACTTTAAAAAGAAGCTAGTATAAAAAATAACACATTGATAATTGTGTAATATAAATTTTTTATTATATATAACTCATATTTTTAATATAAACTTAAATTTTAATATAATAATATATTTTTATATTATCCGAGAACTACAAATTATATTTATGTATAAATTAAGAAAAAATTAAAACACGAAGAGTCAAAATAGAGGAAAAAATATTTAAAGAGTCAAAATAGAGAAAAAAATATTTAAAGAGTCAAAATAAAAAAAAGAAGAAGCTAAACACAAAGAAAATATTTGGTGGCCCAAATTTTTGTGACTTGAATAGTTCGAATATGTCAAAACGACGTCGTTTTCGTTTTAGGTGTTTCAAGCTATTGAAGCCATGATTTTTCGGATCACCTAGCATTGTTGTAAACACAAATCAGTGTGTTTGGTTTGAGTTTTCTGGATTAAGTTTTTTGAAAATTGACTTTTTTAGTTTTCGTATTTTTTGTTTTTAGTGAATATTTTTTAAATTTTAAACATTTTTTTTACTTTTTTAGATGCACTTTACTTAGATGTATCTAAAAAGTAAAAAATTTGTGAAAAAATTAATAAATACATAAAAATATAAAAAATGTACTGAATTCTTATATATTTTTTGTATTTTTGGTATTTAATGAAATTTTAAAAGATTTTTTTTACAATTGTTTTACTTTTTAGGTGTATTTATGTTAAGTGTGTCTAAAAAGTAAAAAAATTGCTTAAAATATTAAAAAAAATTAGTAAAAATAAAAAAACACGAAAAATAAGAAAATAAAATTTTCTAAAAAGTATTTTTTGAAAAGTGAAAATAAGGAAGGCTAATGGTACCTGGTGTAATTTATTTTATTTTTGTAACTTTCAAAAAATTAAAATAAAATAAATTTGATCCTTCGTTGAAGTTTGATTGAAAATAGTGCAAAAAAATAGGAAAAGTAAAAAGAACGCACGTTTTGCTGGTATTATTTATAGAGAGAGAAAGTGTGTAGAGAGAGAAAAAAGAGAGATATTTTTGTTGTATGAGCCTCAGATGCTCCATCTTGCAAAATTAGGGTTTCAACAGCGTTTCGTCTTCCAACGACTTCGTGGCTAAGTTTCGCAGGTTCGTCTCCATTTTATTTTATATTTTTGAATCCATCTGTATTCATCAAGCTCTTCCTCAATCTATATTCATTTGGTGATTTTTCTCTTTTCATATTCATATGGTGTTAAATCTTTGTGTTGATACGAGTTTTCTGGAATGCAATGATGTCTCATTTTGTTTGATTTTTTTGGTCGTTCGTTCTTTATTCTGAGTAAATTTGTATTTGGTTTTGTAACAAATCAAGATTGATTCGTTGATTTTTTGTGTGTATGTTTTTGTTGGCATTGTTATGTTTAACGAATATTTTTTATTTTAATTTATTTCTGAGTAAATTTATTGTTTGATCAGGTTTTGATTTTGAAGCTAAGGATAGATAAGTTGAGATTATTGCATTTGATGGTGAAGAAATTTGTGTAATTTTGAATCGAAGTTATTGCTATTTGACAGAAAATTAAATTGCGTACAGTGGTTGTAGGGAATTTTCTGCAATTGGATTTGAGTTGAAACAAAGGGTGAATTGTTGTGTTGACTATGCGGAGTTCATGGGCTGATTCAGTTGCTGCAGCTGAGACCGCTGCGGCTGGTTCTACTGCTAATAATTCAAGTGCTGGTAACAACTCGGCTAGGACTCGATCCACATATGTTCCTCCACATCTACGTAATAGGGCACCTTCGTCAGACCCACCAGCACCAGTTTACAGTAGCTCAACTTCTGGGACAGATGGATCTGGGTATGGTGCTCCCGCAGGTGGGAATCGTTGGGGAGGTCCTAGGAATGATTATAATAATCGATCTGGGTATAGTAGTGGCGGTCGTGGCGGTGGTTGGAACAACAGAACTGGTGGTTGGGATCGGGGGAGGGAGCAGGAAGTTAATCCCTTTGCAGGTATCGAAAATGCAGTGGAAGAGGTTGGTGAACAGGAGAACTCTGGGATTAACTTTGACGCCTATGAAGATATTCCCGTGGAGACTAGTGGGGATAATGTGCCACCTGCTGTGAACACATTTGCAGAAATTGACTTGGGTGAAGCGCTCAATCAAAATATACGTAGGTGCAAGTATGTGAAGCCAACACCAGTGCAGCGGCATGCCATTCCAATCTCTCTTGGAGGCAGGGATCTGATGGCTTGTGCCCAGACTGGGTCTGGCAAGACAGCTGCTTTCTGCTTCCCAATTATCAGTGGAATTATGAAGGACCAGGCTGCACAGAGACGGCCTCGTGGGCGTGTTGCTTTCCCACTTGCTCTTATTCTCTCTCCAACAAGGGAGCTTTCAATGCAAGTGCGTTTCTGATACTTGGCTATGTGTGTGATATGCTATAATTTTGGCTACTTTTATGAGTAAAAACTTAAACTTTGTAATTTTATCTGTAGATTCACGAAGAAGCTAGGAAATTTGCATATCAAACTGGTGTCAAGGTGGTTGTTGCTTATGGTGGAGCACCTATTAACCAACAGGTCTGCTAGCCGATTGTTTGAATTTTTCTTGATTTGTACTGTTTTGCTAAGAATTGTCTGCTGACAACTATGGTTTTGTACCCCTTTTGTGGATTGCTAATTTTACATCTAGAGTTAGTTATGTATTTATTTTTCTGGGTAAGTCTAGAAAAGACAAAACTAGAATGGAATAACATCAATTAGAGGTAAGTTGAGAGAGAATAGATTAAGATAGTTTGGTTATGTACAAGACTCTGGATTCAATTGGAATGAAGAATGATATGATCATCATAAATGGAAATGCGGTAGTGTAAAAAAAAAAAAAAAAGGAAAGAATTTATTTGATTTAATTGAGAAAATAGCTACTAACAGAAGGGAATGGCAAAAAAAAGATTCATGTAGCTAATCCCACCTAATTCGTACATAAGGCTTAGTTTGGTTTGGTTTAGTTGTTAACTACTTTCGTAAATACAAATTATTGTGCATTTTTTGTATCTTGATTTTTGTTGAGGCTCGTGTTTTCTACTTTTTATGCGGATTATGTCGAAAGTATTTGAGCTATGTCGAATCTTTTAGCTTTTTGAGTTTATTTGTTTTCATATTTGATATTTGCACTCTCTTACCCTCTCTCTATGTGTATTTATATGATTGGGAATGCGGGCAATGTTTATGTATTTTTGGAACAACACTTGTATATATGTAACTATATGCATGCCATCACTCTTAACACTTTGCATGGTTCCTCATGTCTCGCATTTCTTATAACAATGCAACGACATTGGCATGGTGGCAGTCCCTTTTTTTTTTTTCCTTTCCATTTATTGTTTTGTGATTTGGTTGTCCTGTTAGGATTATTTTTGCATTGATGGTGGTGATTCCCTCCCTTGTGGTGGCATGAAAGACCACTTTGGGAAAATATACTATCGATTATTTCACTCCATTGATCTAGATAAGCTCAGATGGTTTTGTGGTATTGCATAATTTTTTTTTGGATAAGTTTATGGTATTGCTGCTTCAAATATAGCCAACATATAGCATATGGATTGACTTGGCAAAGTTAAGCTTACTTGTGGACTCATTTTACTGCTTTTAGTTCTCCATTGGCTTTAGGTAAGTTCCTATGCTTGATATGATTGGGGCTAGGCTTCTAGGATATATCTGATGCACAAATGTTCACACCCGTGCATTCTAAACATTTTTTTTCAAAGTCAAACTTTGACATCAGAAAGCTGGGTGGTTTACGTGTTGTGCATTCTGATTTTTTCATTGTAATTAACTGTGCTAGAAGCTGATGCAGCTCTTCGTTGGTGTTCTATTGAAATTCTTGTTGCACTTGGGTTCAGTTTCTTTTTTCAATCATAGAACATAGGTTTTTGAGCATCATTTTAATTATTTTACGTGTTCATCAATTGATGATATGTTATATTTTGTCAGCTGCGGGAATTGGAAAGAGGGGTTGATATACTTGTCGCAACCCCTGGGCGATTGGTGGATTTGCTTGAGAGGGCAAGAGTTTCGTTAGAGATGATAAAGTATTTAGCTCTAGACGAGGCAGATCGAATGCTGGATATGGGTTTTGAACCTCAAATAAGGAAAATAGTTGAACAAATGGACATGCCTCCACCAGGTGTTAGACAGACCATGCTGTTCAGCGCCACCTTTCCGAAAGAGATACAGGTTTTGTTCTTGCTGTGAATAGTTAATTTAATTTTGATCTTAATTTGTAATATATTGTATTTGAGTTGAATATTTGAGCTTTTCTATGCTTTATCTGCATGAATATATGGGGCCCTTGGTTGTCAAATTGAGAATCGTAAGTTTCGGCATATATTATAGAACAAAATGATGTTAATTGTATTATGAAGAAGAAAAAACAGATTGATTTTGACACATGATACAAAAGTTCTTATACGAGGACATGAACACCCTTTCTAATTGGGAAGACATGCATTCATAGAAAAAATGTGGGTTCAAAGCTCACTAGATATAAAATTATTTAATATTCTTTCTTGGCATTCAAAAAATAGACCTAGAAATCCTAAATATAGTAGAATAAGAAGAAAAAAGTTAGTGGGAACCTTTTATAATGTAAAACACTTTATAAGTGTTTATACTTATTATTTAAAAAAAGAAAAAGAAATAGAAAGTTGTGGGACTGTTGGGTTTGACTGATTTGGCCCGTATTTATTTCACCAAAATGATAATAGATAATTCATAGTGTAAGTTATTTTAGCCTTAAGCATCCTTTGAAGATGTATGTTGACATTTTTCTAAGGGAAAAAAGAAATGAGAAAAAAAGGTTAAGAAGTTGTTTAATCTGTCTCGAATTGATTGAATCATATTAAACACTGTAATCACCAAAATAACAATAAATAATTTATAGGTGCAATGCAAGTTACTTTAGCCATGTAGATGTATTTTGAAATTTTATCAAGGGAAAAAAATGAGAAAAAAAGTTGAACCTATTGGGTGTATGACTAGATTTGATTGGATCCTATTAAATATTCTAATTGCTAAAATAATAATAAATCATGCATTGGTATGGAATATGTTTTTAAAATAATTATGTTTTTGACATCTTTACCAAAAAATTAGTCAAAAAGGGTTGGAATATGTCACAGACCCAATAGCTTCAACAATTGCATGAATTGTAAAATGTGAATCGAATCGGGAATTGAATAATGATTCATGCGATTCACCATTGCTCCTATCCCAAATAGATTCACTTGTAGATTTGCATTATCGATCTACACATGAATTGCGAATTGTTCGATTCTATTAATAGTTATGGCTTTTTGATGCATTTAAGTTGACTGAGTAGGCACTGCAAGGTGTTGCCCTTATGTCTCCAGTTATATACTCCATTAAAATAGAAACCTTTTCATTTTTTTTGTGATTGTTACTTGATTATTACTTAATGCATGTATATTTTTCTTGCATCTTTATTATGTGTTTTTGCATGGATTGGGGGCTATTATCAATTACATCTTCATAATAAGTTTTCAACTATATTGATATGTAGAGACTGGCTTCTGATTTTCTTGCAAGCTACATCTTTCTGGCTGTTGGAAGAGTTGGTTCTAGTACCGATTTGATTGTACAAAGGGTAGAATTTGTTCATGAGTCTGACAAGAGAAGCCATCTCATGGACCTCCTTCATGCGCAAAAGGCAAATGGTGTTCATGGAAAGGTAAGAATGGAGAGCTTGGTGTTCCATTGACTTTTATTTTGTTTTTGTGCTTATATAGAAAATTTGGGTTTCCTTTTGGTGATAAATCTCTAAAAAAATTCAAGTCTTTTGGAAGGAGATATTTTAGGAAGTCACTCTTGCCAATTTTTTGCTTTTATATGTAGTAGTGTGAGAGAAAGTCACCTTGATATTTCATTTGCTTTTTTAATTGCTGTGGTTCTAATTTGTTAATCTCGTTCAATTTATTACTAGGTTTTAGGGAATAAATATTGAGATAAAAAGAGGAGAAATAGCATGTAGATAAGATGAGTGTTGCTGAGATGAGGATGTTAAGGTGGATGTGTGGCAAGACTAGAAAAGATAGAGTTAGGAATGAGTCTATTCGTAAATGGGTAAGAGTAGTACCGATAGAAGATAAGCTGAGAGAGAATGGATTGAGATGGTTTGGTCATATACAATGAAGACCAGTGGAGGCAGTAGTGAAGAGATGTAATAAAGTGACGGTAGATGGAAGTGTTAGGGGAAGGGGCAGACTTAGATTGATGTGGGTTAGTGTAGTAAATAGAAATATGAATCTCTTTATTTTGACTAATCAAATGGCGTTTGATAGAGTCGAGTGGAGAAGAGGATTCATGTAGTTGACCCATTTGATGGGACCTAAGGCTTGGCTTGGTTTGGTTTGGAAAGAGAAGAAAATAACAGAGTCACTGCAAGCTCTTCTTCTATTTACTCTTGAATGATTTGTTTACATCAATAACGCCCATATATATAGGGTGAATCGCTATCATTTTCCACAATTTTTATAATTCTAGACTAGCGATTGGAGATAAAATCAAGCCACAAATTATGCAACCATAAATCATGAGATTCTATCTTCAATGTGTTTTTATCTTCGACACTCACACACACAAACCCCCCACCCTCCACCCCAAGTTGGATCATGAAATTGTTGAAGTGTCAAACTTGAACTCGGAAATTAAATTATTGCCGGAAAATGTTTGATCATGAAATTGTTGAAGTGTCGAACTTGAACTCGAAAATTAAATTATTGCCTGAAAATGGTTGTTTAAGTTTGCACAAATGGCACATTATGCAAATTCACCAAGTATGCAGCCATACTAAATTATTGGTTGTGCGACTTTGCTGAAAAATGCATGAAATGACACATCATGTAAAAATGGATCATGATAATGACACCCTCTCAATGAAATTTTGGGAGAAGACAGGGAATCAAACATCTTGCAAACATGTAAGTGTGCAGAGAATGAGCGATATGCAAACACATCCGGCACGAAATGAACATTGTGTAAATGGTGGTAAGTCAGTCTTCCTCTAAAGGACAAATAGGGCGAGATATGTGCACAAAATTAGTATCATGCAATCATTAGAAAATGATGCAAGAAATAAGACATCTTACTAATGGAATGCATCTATGGATTGAAGGAAAATGTGACACCATGGGCCAATGAGAAATGACATTACGGGCCAATAGGGAATGCCACTTTGGTCCTATGGGAATGCCATTATGTGCCAGGCGACTTTGGCTTTGAAATATTTTTTTGGTAGCATTTTGTTGCAAATGAATTGATCAACATAGAGGAGAGATACAAAGCCATGTGGCTGAACTGAACAGTGGCAAAAACAATGCATGGTTTGTTGTGGACGGGAGAGACCATGAAATAAGAGACCATATGAAAGAAATGATACTAAAAACATTGTATTACTACTTAAAAGGAGGGTAGAACCAATAGATAGTTAAAAGTGGATGCAAATGAGTCATGAGTAGTTGGGAATGGTCTCATGTGAGAGGAAGACAAGTGTCACCAACCCAAGTAGGTGTTTCTCGCTACTAAGGTTCGATCAATCTTGGCTTATGTCCACACATAAAGCCACAGTGGGCTACATGATTGTATTACTACTTGAAAGGAGGGTAAAACCAATAGATAGTTAAAAGTGGATGCAAATGAGTTATAATTTGGGAATGTTCTCATGTGAGAGGAAGACAAATGTCACCCAAGTAGGAGTTTCTTGCTACTAAGGTTCGATCAATCTTGGCTCATGTCCACACATAAAGCCACAGTGGGCTACATCTTATATTCACTCTTGAATGATCTGTTTACGTCAATAACACGTATATATAGGGGTGAATTACAATTGCATCCGGTAATTTTAGTATTTTCTGGCCCAAAGAACTTACTGTTTAAAGCTTAAAGATGGAGTTGAAATCTTATTAGAAAGGTAGGAGTTTTTGCAGTAGGAAGTCTGATCTCTTGATATACGAGTGCTGGTGTTCTTAACGTTGTTAATAGGGTAATTTTTGTTTAACATTTTTATTGATGTTTCATATTTTAAGCTAATTTTAAAACTTGACCTTCATTATCTACATGATTGTTGCTTTTCTGCACTTGGTTTTGCAGCAAGCTCTGACTTTGGTTTTTGTGGAGACGAAGAAAGGAGCTGATTCACTGGAACATTGGTTGTGTATGAATGGGTTTCCTGCTACTACCATTCATGGTGACAGAACACAGCAGGTAAAGTTGTTTTAAGCATTATCTTTTACTGGGGTATTTATTATGATATTGGTGGTGTATATTTTGGACAAATCACAAAAGTAACTCATTCAGTTATGATTAAAAAAAGAAGAGAAAAGCTTGTGGATAGCAGCTTATTTGTTCTTGCTTCATGTTTACATTTTAGTGTAGAGGTTAAATTGCATTGGCGTCCCCTAAGGTTTTGAAATTAGGCACTCTCCATGTGCGTGTGTCCATGGCTGAGAGAGAGAGAGAGAGAGAGGGAGAGCGTTTTTGCCCTCTCCACCACTTTCTTCTTCCTCTTTTCCTTAATTCAAGGTCAGTTCTGGTGTACACATCAGATAAATGATTATATCGTTTTGTCAGGTTTAATAGTGGACAGTCTTGCTGTTAGTCTGTATCTATATGTGTATATGTATCTGTACGGTATATTGAAGTATCAAGTGGCTATATGTATATATGTATCTGTACTATTTATCAGACTATCCCCTGTTAGCCGTCTTTAGCGTAGATTTATTCTGTATAAAAAGTGTCAACACTACAAACTCTACAATGGTGAACAATGAACAAAAATGAATTATGAACTCCCCACAGAACCTTCAAAACAAGGATTTGGAGGTAAATTACAGATCAAAGCTTAATAAAATTAACTATAATTACCGGTGCTAACACTGGCTTGCTAATTTTCTCTGTTCATATCTCCATCGCCAGAGCATGATTTACAACTCTCGCTCGCAGATTCGAAACAACCATGCAAAAATAAATAAATAAATAAATAAATAAAACAATTCCATAGTCGTGGAATAAATTTCCAGCGACGATAATCAATTGATCAAACCCACGCATACATACGTCTTATTGGAAGGTCATATAAATATGTATTGATTGTTCCTAATGGGAGGGAAGAGAGGGAGGGAAAGAAAGATACATGTGTACCGTAAGAGTCCCTTCCAATCAGATTGTAGAAGAATGCTTCAGCAAAGAGCCGGTCCGTCTGCCGTGGGTTGCAACGGTAAGCAAACCAGAGAAAGAGCCGAGGTAACAAACGAGATAGATGAAATTTGATGGTCTTGAATATCCACAACCCTTCAACTTCTCAGCCAAATTGTCTTTAGAGGTATGTTCTTTGTGAGGAAGTTTTTATTGTCTATAATAGGCCCAATTTTTTTTATTTAATAATTCAGTTGGATCTAGAATCAAGTCATTATGAGTCTTATTTAAAAAGTGAGTGGCCTTAGCAAATACAAAACTTGCGATAAAATGAGTTGAGCAGACTTTAGACCCACTAATGGACTATAGTGAACAGAGAGAGAACAAAATGTAAAACTTCATAGCTGTGCCCGAGCTGAGCTCGATCATGGCCAAAGATCTATGGATTCGAGTTTGAGCTGGTTAATACTTGGCTGAGCACGGCATGTTTTTGTCGCACCCCACCCATTCTTTCTCTCTGGTGGTGGTGGTGGTGGTGGTGGTATTGTTTTCTTCGAGTCAGTTCTTGTGGAAGCACTGATATTTTTCCAGGTTCTAGTGCTGTTGGTCAGGATACACTTTTGAACATTTTGGATATTTTCGCATGTCTGCAGGAAAGAGAATATGCCTTGAGGTCCTTCAAAAGTGGCAACACTCCAATTTTGGTCGCAACAGATGTGGCAGCGCGTGGTCTTGATATCCCTCACGTTGCACATGTGGTCAATTTTGACCTTCCGAATGACATTGACGATTATGTCCATCGAATAGGGCGGACAGGGCGAGCTGGGAAGTCAGGGTTGGCTACTGCATTCTTTAATGAGAACAATGCTTCATTGGCGAGGCCACTAGCTGATTTAATGCAAGAATCAAATCAAGAAGTACCTGCTTGGCTTTCACGCTTTGCAGCTCGATCTTCCTATGGTGGTGGAAAGAATCGTCGATCTGGGGGAGGACGGTTTGGGGGTCGTGACTTTCGAAGAGACTCTTCTTTCAATAGGGGCGGTGCGGATTACTATGGCGGCGGAGGAGGCACTGGTTATGGGGCTTCAGGGGGTGGGTACAGTGGAGGAGGGTATGGTCCTGGGGCGACCAGTGCGTGGGACTAATATCCCATTTTTTTGCCTCACTTGGTTTCGTCTTCAAGACATCATGGTTCTTGTTGTGGCAGCAAGCTTCACTTATTTTATAGGATGCATATTTTTTTTTTTTGTTTCTTCTCATTTTTGCCATTGTGTCTGATATTTGAAGTTCCCCCCTTGGCTTTGTAATCCTAGACTAGAATTTTTCTAATGTTATGGAGAGGGGGAGTTGAATGTTTTGGTTTTGGCACCAAGAGGATACGAGGTTTGTAATGTTGGCAAGTGGTGGTGAATAACTACCAACAGTTTAGGGTTTACTTTTGTTTTTCTACTTTTCATTGTTGATGATTTCTGTTGGGGAAAAAAAATACTATATACATTATAACAGATTTGTCACCTTATTTTTTAACCATTAGATACAAAGACATGGATCCCATGTTTATTTCTTAATGTGGGCTTTGTTATATTAGTGTCTAGTGACAAGAAAATATTGTGAGAAATCTGTATATATATAATGTGTTACTTATCAATAATAGTATAGAACTATCTCACTACTTGTGTGACTATCTGATCTGTTTTAAGATGATTATGTATTGTGCTTAGATGTTAATTTATTATTGGGTGGTGATATCATTGGTATCGCAATGAATTTTATTTATTTATTTTTTATAGTAGTTATTTACTACAATATGGTGAGAAATCTGTCTTATGTTTTCTGTCTTGGGATTTAACTCGTCCGCCAAGGTGGGTTAGTGGTCTTGAAGCACTATCTTAAAATTTAAGGATTTTATGTAGCCTGATCTCAACATAATTTGGTGGAGGCTTTGTTAACCTGTTGATTAAAAATGGGGGGTTGGTGAGGATGTGGATGAGTTAAGATACGTATTTTCAGTAGTCTTTTTTTTTATCAAAAATGCTTGCCGCCACTAATTAGTGGTGACACTAATGATGTGGCAGTGGGCTTTACTCACTCTCACAGTATTGCTGTGCCTTTATTATTATTATTTTTTTATTTTTTACCTTATTAGTGGTGGTTTAGCGGGTACCAAATTAGTGGGTACCAATCACTACTGGAAAAAAAAAAAAAAGGTTAGTGGTCTTGAAGCACTATCTTAAAATTTAAGGATTTTATGTAGCCTGATCTCAACATAATTTGGTGGAGGCTTTGTTAACTTGATTAAAAATGGGGGGTTGGTGAGGATGTGGATGAGTTGAGATATGTATTTTCAGTAGTCTTTTGTTTATCAAAAATGCTTGCCGCCACTAATTAGTGGTGCACTAATGATGTGGCTGTGGATTCTACTCACTCTCACAGTGTTGTTGTGCCTTTATTATTATTATTTTTTTATTTTTTACCTTATTAGTGGTGGTTTAGCGGGTACCAAATTAGTGGGTACCAATCACTACTGGAAAAAAAAAAAAAAAGGCTACTAGGTGAAATATGCTGGAATTATGTATTTACCATATTGCCCTGGGAGTTGTGTGGGATTATGATTGTACCCTTGAGTTGAGTGATGCAATTCTCTCCCTATCTTGCAGTTGTAACTCCTGGATTTAGGAATTTGATGATCCTCTTGCTCAACCTAGAACAAGTAAAGATTACCTAGATGACAACTAGGAAAAATCAATGAAATAACCCCCTAAGAATTGACTTCTAATCTTTTTGTTGTATCATCTAAAGGCACGTTTGGTTGTTGGATAAAATAAATAAAGCATAGGACTATTTTAAAAATTAAATAGTGAGATAATGAACTTTGTAATAGAAAAGAATTGTAAAGGGTAATGCATACCGTCTAACCAACATTATTATATGTTTAAATTATTTTTATTTCATTCTATTTCATAAGAATATAATGTTTATACTTGACACATTATTATATTATCAAACCATAGAACTAAATATGGTATAAAAATAAATTATATGAATTATTAATTTAATCCCCTCTTCCACTGGGCAACTAATTATCTCTCTCAACATCGAAATTGTTGCTAAAATAATCATAACTATTTATATAATGGCTTAAAGCAATGATATGATGGGGACAAAGGAAAAGGTCAAGGCAAATGGGAACCCAATGAAAGTTCATAATGAAATTCTAATTACTCCTTAAAACAAAAATTTCAGGATTTCAAACCATCATCAGGTATTAAAAAAAAAGAAGTAAAATGCAAATACATTCTATGGGTTTAAAATACAAATTGTTCTTTGTAATTTTAAAAATTATAAATATTTTATTGTTAGAAATTTTCATGTAAAAAAATCAATATATTAATAAAATTTTTAACTACTTTTCTGTACAATAATAAAATTACATGAATTGTTAATTAAAATATATTTCTAACATCATTAAACAATTAACTGATTTGATAATTTTTATTACTAAAAGGAGCATTTGCTATGTGATTAGAAACTTGTAGAGGCAAAATATAATTTCAAAACCGTAAAAGACAATCTATATTTGAAATAAATTTTAAAATTTTTATTTGTAATTTAACTCCCAAAAAAAACTATAAGCCGGCTTGAGTAATGTTGGTGTGTTGGCGCCTAGGTTTGTGTTTTTTATGCGTTAATTTCAATGCCAAATTGTATTATTTTTAGTGATTAAAGAGTATGTAATGTTACACTCCAAAAGTTCTATTAATTTTTTTTATCAAATATCTTATATGAGTGTGAAATTCACATGATGTAGATTCTATGTGGGTTCCACGCTCATGTGAAACATTTAATAAAAAATTTAATAGAATTTTTAAAATCTCTAACATTTTTATTAAAGAGTTTGATAGCAATGATAGGAGAGGGAAAGTAGTCTTGGCCTAATTCATTATTTAATTATAAAAAATGCATTACTTTCATCATTTTAGCAGGGAGAATTTGTTCAATTTTTATAAGAGAGGGAGTTAAAATGTAAGAGTTCATATATAAATGAGATAACACGATATTTGATAATAGTTAAAGGGATCTTAATATAATTAATTTTAATTTTTTATTTACATTTTGGTATGCAAAAAGAGTGAATGGCAGTAATCTCTATTATTTTTGCAATCTTATATGAGATTGCTAGCATCTCTTGATCTGAGTGAAGTTCATTAACGACTAAGCGTATTTACTCTGTAGCGAATAAATGTGTTGATTTATTTAAACATATTTTTAATTTTGACTGAGAAAATTATTATTTTTAATTGAAAAGTACGAGACTTAATATTCAATATATTCGAAAATAAATAATTCAATAAAATGTATTGAAGCATAAGTCAAATTTTAAAATTTATCCAAAATAATGTTCCGATTTTTATTTTTATTTTTATTTTATTTTATTTTAAGGAGGAAGGAAAAAAATAGAGTGGAGTCCATAAATGTAAAGCATTAACAAATTCCATTTGAAAAGATCTAAAAAAAATAACTTTTTCAATTAATATTATATTTAGTTGAAGGGTTTGAGAAAGAATTTAGAAGAGAAATGAAAAATGAAAAAGATAAGCAAAATGTGAATAAAATATACTTTTATTTTATCTAATTTCATACATATATATATATTTTTTAAAAATATTTTTCAAATCCCTTAACCAAATACAATGTAAAGAAATCAATTGGGATGTGATTCAACCATATGATAAGTATATGAAAAATGCTTGGGAGCACTAATTAGTGCTCCCACTAATTAGGTGGCAGTGGGTCCCGTTATTAATGATGTGATGTTTTGGTCTTGGAAATCAATTGGGATGTGATTCAACCATATGATAAATATATAGACCCAGAAGCAATCTATAGACTACCGTGCTCCCTAAGGCACTAGATTTTTCTTCATATTAAATTTCATATTGAGGTACACACTCACCCTCTCTCATAGGGTTTGACCAATTTGTTACCAAGGAAAATGAGTGGGAGCACTAATTAGTGCTCCCACTAATGATGTGGTAGTAAACCCCATAATGAATAATTTGATGTTTTGATTTTGGTATTGTATTTTTTATTTTTTTTATTGAGTGTCATGTCATTCCAAAATTAGTGGTCTCTATCATTGTTGTAACAATTAATAGTAGGGGATTCTCTCCCCCTTTAGACATTTCAATTGAAGGTTGCAATTGGCTTTTTGGTGAGTCTCATTTTAGTTTGATTTTTAAATAATTTTGAATATTTCATATATAACAAAAATTTAAATTGATCAATAATTATAATTATATAATTGAATCAATTGTTTTAAATGATAAAAGATAAATATAATTTTGAGAATATATCATTTATTTATTTTTTGTAAATAAATGTGATTTGATGATGTAGTTATAAATATTTGATCAATTTAATTTTTTATATGAATAATTTCCAGCTGATCACTAAACGGGCAGTGTGGTCAGATTTTCACCCACACAGTTATAAATATTTGATCAATTTAATTTTTTATATGAATAATTTGTTCAAAAGATCATACAAGAATTATAATTCATATATCCAGATAGGTCACATGATGAGCTCACTAAGTGTCAATAACACTTAAATTGAATTTTTTTTCTCTCAATACAACAGTAATATCATGCCATCACAGATATGTGATATTACCATGATACCATCCAATAATAATTTAATAAAAATGTATACACAATACATGTGACAATTATATATTTATGTTGGAACATGTAGTTGTGCATGAATAATGGTCCACCCTTCTACATGTAGATCTGTTATTGATGTTGTGTCAATAGTTATGGGCTTATTTGGTGGAACTTGAGCTACAAATTTATAATTAAAAATTAATTTTATTTTATCTAATAAATTATACTAAACAGTTTAATATATATTTTTTCAAAAAATAATTATAAATAATATATATAAATTGCACCCAATAATTCCAAATATATTATCCCATTACATTAAAGTTGGGATTATCCCAACCCTTACAAATATTAAATGTAGCATTCTTTGTCTTCTGGTGAGAGTTGAAAATTAATTTCAAGAGATAGAAAATTTAATGTATACTCTTTTAAAAAGAGTTTGTCATATGTAATTTTAATTATGTTATTTTTTTAATTATGATTACTTTTTTTAGTTATAATACTATTTTAATTATCATAAATTTTTTAGTTAAATTTTATGTTATGTTTAATTATGACTCAAAAAATTAAAATTTTATTATTTTTTAATTATAAAATGTATATGATACCTTGCATCATAATTTTTTTTTTTATACTGTGCTTAGTTGAGAGATTTGAAAGAAGATTTAAAAGAAAAAAGTTATATAAAATTAAATTATATATTATTTATATTTTTTTGTTTTAAATCTCGTTTCAAATTCCTAACCAATCACGGCAAGAGACAAAAATATTTTGAAACTCTAATAAAAGAGTTATAGCTTTAATGGAATGTGGGTCTATTGTGATAGTGATATTTGTGTCTTGTATTTTTTTTAATTTTTTTTTATATCATTAGAGTTCTTCAATTTAGAGAGATGTATCATTGTTGCCGTATGAGATTACAGATATAAAAATAAATGTATAAAATTATCAATTCTGCAAACAAATTAGAAATGGTCCAGCTGTAAACTTCGGTTAGAGAGAGAGAGAGAGAGAGAGAGGACTCGCCTCTGTCCCTCATCACGTATTTAAGAGAGCAGCTCTCTACTGTTTGCTATTTGTTTTCTTGTTTGCATTCACAGAGATAAAATCTTCTTTGGGTTTTCGACTTTGGGGGTTAATTTGCTTTTCTTGAATTTCTTTGTGGAGCAGATATGAAGATTGAAGCTTATAGAGCTCTCGATCTGTGTCTGTGAAGCAAATTTAGCTTTGATTTTGATCCTGGGTGTTACCCAGAAATTCGTGTATGAAACTGTACATGTGAGAGATGGACCAAACCGTCGAACGTTCTCCTAATGCACAGAGGGGTTTTCGAGTTCAAGCTCCACTGGTGAACCCACTTGATCTTTGACCCTTTTTTATTGTTAATTTTCTTCAATTCATGCGTTTCTGAACATACCCGGATGAAATACATGATAAATGTGCAAATCTTTGATGATTTTTTATTTTTATTTATTTGTTTATTTATTTTCTTTCTGTGTGATGAGCATGTGTGTGTGTGTTTTGGTTTTTCGTTTTCTAGCAATTATGGTAGCATTTCTTTTCAGGAGACTTTGGAGATAGAGGGATGAGAGTTCGTGGAATTTGATGAGAGCTTATGTATTTTGTATGACTGGTTGGTTCTTTTTTTTGTTTTTGTTTTTGTTTTCAATGCTAGAATGATCTTGATGATAACTGACTTTGTTGGTTTGGGGTTGGACTGGACTGCTGCATTTTGTTGTGCATTTGTACAAGTAGGGGATTTGATAGGAGCATGGGGTGTATGATTAAAGTGGGGCCTTTGATCTCTTCCCATGGAAGAGCATCACCTCCTTCACATGGGGTGAATTCAACAGAGTTTGGAGAAGAAGGTATTTAATTGTCTCTACGGAGCTTAATTTGGGTGAATAAATACCGAGTCCTTATCTTGGATGCCTTTCTAGTTTAGTGAACATTGTGAAGGATAGCACTTGGCATTTTGGGGAAGAGTAGATTTTATAGGTGCTTCGAATGGTTTAGGTGTATTAGACACTAATCTTGTTTCATTTCTGGAGCTTATTGATTTAACAATTTATAACATGCACCTATTGTTGTGTGTGATATATGCTGTTATCGGTATCAGTGTTAGAATTTTACTTGGGGACAGTATCATGTTGATAAGTTACTCGGAATTTCAATCCCCTTTTTTAACAAAAAGTTGAAATCCTCCTGGATTGTTCTCATTTTGGGTGTACTCTCTCTCCCTCTCTCCCTCTCTCTAGCGTTTTTGTAGACTTTACTCTTCATGTGTTCTAGCATTAATTCAAACATCAAAGGTAGAATAGTAATTCAGATGAATGTTGACTTGCTGTGGGAAACTATTAAAAGATGCTCCCTGCATACCATTTATTCTTATGATCTTTTTTAAAGTCTCTCTCACCCTTTTTTTGGCTGCTTTTGTTTGTGGTAGTATGAAATTGTGTGATCTTATGGATAGGGGAATGAGTTTGTATGTCATTTTATTATTACTAGTGGTGTCTCTCCACCAGATGGGTATATGTTAGTTAAATCTGAAAAATATAAATTTTAATTTTGATTTAAAATCACATGTGTGTTGCTCAAGTGGTAAGGGTCTTATCTACCAGATCGAAGGTCTTGGTTTCGAGTCCCAACCTCCTCGCGATGTAATTGTATTTTAAGTAGGGTAGAAGGGCATTTTCAGAAATCAAAATGTCACATTGCGTCAACACGATCTCAAGCCTTTCCCTTTTAATAGTATAGATTTATCTCTTACATCATTCTATTTCAAATCCTGGTTGATCCAATCATTGTAGCAATTTGTGATGCTTTGTGAATATTGCGAAGGGTGTTAATTTATGAACGTGACCATTTGATACAGCATATGCAATTTTGCAGGTTGATTCTGTCTCATGCTATTGTAAAGTAGATTCAGGCTTGAAAACTGTTGCTGGGGCAAGAAAATTTGTTCCAGGATCTAAACTGTGCATCCAACCTGATATCAATCCTCGTGCACACAAGACTAAAAGCTCACGCAGGGAGAGAACCAGATTTCAGCTACCCCTCTTGCCAGGCCTTCCTGATGATCTTGCCATTGCTTGTTTAATTCGAGTCCCTCGTGTTGAACATAACAATCTGCGTCTAGTTTGCAAGAGATGGAATCGACTTCTTGCCGGAAACTACTTTTATTCTCTTAGGAAAAGTCTTGGAATGGCAGAAGAGTGGGTTTATGTCCTTAAAAGAGACCGTGATGGGAGGATTTCATGGCATGCTTTCGATCCCACCTACCAGCTATGGCAGCCACTTCCACCTGTTCCGGCAGAATATAGTGAAGCCCTTGGGTTTGGTTGTGCTGTTCTGAGTGGTTGCCATCTGTACTTATTTGGAGGAAAAGATCCATTGAAGGGTTCTATAAGGCGGGTAATTTTCTACAGTGCTCGGACAAATAAATGGCACAGGGCACCAGACATGCTGCGGAAGCGTCATTTTTTTGGTTCTTGTGTCATAAATAACTGCCTTTATGTGGCTGGTGGAGAATGTGAAGGAATCCGGAGAACTCTCCGTTCTGTTGAGGTTTATGACCCTAACAAGAATCGTTGGAGCTTTGTAGCAGATATGAACACGGGTATGGTGCCTTTTATTGGGGTTGTTTATGATGGAAAGTGGTACTTAAAAGGACTAGGGTCCCACCGAGAGGTCCTGAGTGAAGCCTATATACCTGAAACAAACACCTGGACCCCAATCAGTGACGGGATGGTTGCCGGTTGGCGCAACCCTAGCATCTCTATGGATGGAAAGCTCTTTGCGTTGGATTGCCGTGATGGGTGCAAACTTAGGGTTTACGATGAAATAACAAATTCTTGGAAAAAATTTATAGATAGCAAACTCCATTTAGGGAGCTCTCGTTCGCTGGAGGCTGCTGCTCTTGTTCCCCTTAACGGGAAGCTTTGCATCATCCGTAACAACATGAGCCTCAGTCTGGTTGATGTGTCGAGTCCTGATAAACAAGTGGAGACTAATCCTCACCTTTGGGAAAATATTGCTGGGAAAGGTCACATCAGAACTATTTTCACAAATTTATGGTCGAGTATAGCTGGGCGAGGATTGAAAAGTCATATTGTGCACTGTCAGGTGCTTCAAGCATGATGGATGGTCTGCGCTTTCAGGTGTTACAAGCATGAGAACTGGTATTCACTCAGCTTGTCTTTGCCAACAAGATTGCTTCATAGTCTTCATCAATCTGTCGTGGCTGTGTTGGTATACTGTGAAGTTACATTAGTTGCAAAATGATGATATTGTTCATACCCTCTGAACCAAATAGTTGCATTTGTCCTCTTTTGCTTTTTGTTTTTCACTTTTTAGGGGAGAATGAGACGACGGTGATTTGCAGGCGTGGACTTAAATTCTCACTTTACAAAAATGTTTGGCTTGGTGAAACTGAAAATGAACAGAATTTTAGGAGAATTTGAAAATCAACTGGGAAAAGGAAATTTCATTGGCAGCTCTTGTATAAATTTCAGCTAGAATTGATACTGGTTCTTCGTCATTCAGATGTTACACAAGCATTTGTAATGTGAAGGTGATTTACTGTTGGTTTTGGCAATAGATTTAGAGGCCATTTCTTTTACATTCATGAAGAGAGCAGATATATATAGTTTTCAAACTTGTAAAATCTTTCTCATTTGGATCTGGGGCAGTGCTCTTTGATTGTGGAATCTTATCTTCGTAGTTAGCATAGTATGTAATTTTGGAGGTGCTTTGTGAATATACATGGGTTATTTAATATAATCAGCATTTATATATATATATAACATCTTTGTGGCTATGATTCTATTTGTTGCATTCATGTTACTTGATCGATACATTCTGCGCTGTGTAGTTATTGTTTCTCTACCAAAAGTGCTCTGCTCTGCTTTGATAGTCTTGATTCCAACTTCTAAGCCCTCTCCTCTGTACCGTTGTAGCATGAAACCAATTGTATAATCCTTAAATCATTAATTGTATAATCCTTAAATCATTGATGTACACTACCAGAACACAAAATTTACATCAAAAGTTAAAACGAGTCATTTGTTTCGTTTCAATTTCCAGTCTGAAATCAAACTTTTTTTTAACTAAGTTTCGAGTAAATAGCATATATCCTGCTCTTTGTAGGAGCCATATCTTAATTTGTTTCATAAGACATGTCTTCTTGTTTCTGAATTCCGACAGTCATAAGACATGCCTAATTTTGTGTTGTTAGATACATGAATATGTCTGTAGAATCTATTGTAACAGTTTAAAGGGTTTGCTCTTTCTAATACAGACTACCAAAATAAAAGTAAAAAACCACGAAGACAGACTAGATTATTGTTTGATGGAGATTGATATTTGAGTTTTCTATGTAATCAGAGAAGTAGAGCGAGGAGACTGAGATACAAGAGTATGACAATATTTCCCACTTTTAGGGGTTATTTATTTAGTTATAAGTAGAGTACATTAAGAGCTTCAGCTTGATAACATGTCCTATTTACATATTACACCCATATAGTTTGTTCAGATTACCCATCTTCCAGCTGAACCAGCTTTTGGGTCCTGGACTTCAAAAATACAAAGAAAGAAAAAAGAAAAGAAAAAAAAAAGAGATGATTTGAAACATTTCCTCAATAACAGAAACATTTCCGGTTGTCTACTCCGTAATCAGCATTTGAATGTCCTCACCGGGAGTCAGAAGCTGCACATTGAAAAAAAGAATCAAGACAACAACAAAAATGGAAGTTTTGAAGCATGAATGCAAGTTAGAGAGATGTTACACGAGAAACATGAAGAGCACAAAGAAAGTAACATGATGTCATGGAAATCATTCATGTAAATGTACCAGAAATGGCACAATAAACTGCACACCAGCAACAAGAACTAAGAAGGGAGAAAAAGGGAGAAAGAAACTATAATTATTACAAGTGCAAAACAATCAGTGCAGTTTGTGTTAGGACTTAAGAGTGCATTCTATGTATTTTGGCAATCCCGTTTGACATACATTTTTCAGTTATAATTCTGTTTATTTTGAATTTGTATGTATTGTAATCCATGTAAGTGTATATTTGTGTGAATCCCAATCATGGACTTAAATCGAAAGCAAGTCAGAGCATCCGAGCAGTCATTGACAAGCCAATGTGGTTTAACAGCCAAAAATCCAGTGCGTAAGGAACAGAGAAAGGCAATCTTCAATTGGGTAGTGGGTAGCTATCTAGATAGTTTTGAACTTTTGAGGAAAGCACACTTCTATGAAGCAGGGCTTTCTGTGGACTAGGCTCACCAATTGAGCAGGTGGCGATCCAGCGGTGAAATCACTTCCTTTGGATCTCAAAGACTGCTATAAAAAATACAGAGAATGTGCATTCACTGCTCGATCAGTGAAGAGACGATTCAAGTAGCCAAGGCCGGCAAAGTAAGTTACATAAACACGAACCATCATTACTTTTCAGACAAAGTGCTTAAGTTCTCTATCTAGAAGTGTGAAACTACTTCATAATTCATCTAGTGAGAGAATTCTTAATTGCATGGAGTTCATGTGAAGTTCTGAAACACCATCGTTTTCAATTTTTTGTGCAAAAATAGTTTTCAATTTCAGAGAACTTTTTGTGTTTTTTAAAAAGTGGGTTATTTTTGGAAAGTATTGCTGAAAACAATATTTGAAAGTAGTTGGCCAAACAAGTTTTTTTGTGTTTTTGAGAAACAACAAATATAAATAGAAAAGGAAAACACAGCCAAACAGGCAAGCTTTCTTCACCCAACTATGCTAGTCGGATAGAAGGTAGTTGACCAGTTCCAGTTGTTCACATGAACAAGGCAAATATCTACTAAAGATAGAGCTTTATATGGTTCTTGCTCTTTTCCTATTTTTAGTTTTTATTTGGAGCACGTTGCTACTAATAGCCTATTTATGGAAACCAAGATAAAGATCTAACATTAAGCTTCATTTCAACTTGGAAGAGAAACGTAAGGGATTTTAATGACCTATATAGGCTAGTTAAAGTGGTGGAAGGAGGGGAAAAAAATTTCTTACAAAATAAAAGAAAAAACAAAAATTTTATACAATCCATATTAACATGACAACTAGGTTACTAAATTCTTACAAAACAAACAGAAAAACACAAGAAAATTTCGATTTGTCCACGAAAAGGGTTACTTATAATTAAAATTTCAAATTTCATTCTTTTTCTTGAAATTTTTTCATCCTAATCAAATGCTTGCAACGAGAGTATATTTTCCTTTTAAGTTTCTTTACTTTCGATTCACTTCCTATCATTTTTCTTTCTAATCAAACAAAGCCGCCAATCAAGCTCTTGGAGAGAGGTAAATATAAGAATGTTTACAAGTTAACAATAAGCAAAAGGTTTTGAAAAACCCCAAACATATATGTGTAGGAGATCAACCCAAATTAAGTTGGCAGCCACATGGAAGGGTGGCCAACCCACATGGTAAAAGGAAGGCAAAAGAGGTTGGCATGAGTTGGCAGCCATGAGGCTTGCCATGCGCCAGCAACAAAGGAGAATATTGGGCTGGCAGCCAACACACCCATGAGGCCTCCTCCACCTTCTGTTTTGGTGTATAAAATGGAATGGTGATGGTGAGTTAGAAACAGGGCATCATAGCAAATCAGAGAGTGTGAGAGAGTGTGTTATATAGAGAGACAGTGAGTTGAGAGTGTGTAATCTCCTCCATTTGTTGATATATAACAACATCGCTCCCGTGGACGTAGGCCGGTTTGCCGAACCACGTTAAAAGTCTTGTGTTTTTGCTTGTGAGTGTCCCCTGGTGTGCCCAAGATTCGCAACAATTGGTATCAGAGTAGCACAATATTGCTAGACAAGCTGTGAACTTGAAGACTTAAACAAATCAAAGACTAGAAAGGAGGAGAAACCCCTTTTAAATTCTCTCTTTTTCTTTCTTCAATTTGTACTTCCCTTAGTCAGGTGTTCTAATAAAGTGTCACCATCTTTTGTTTCTTTCATTTTTGTAATATGCTCCTTTATTTCTGAAATCTGATTGATTGTTGGTGCATTTCTATCATAAATCTGAATAGATGAATATTGTAAATTAAATCTTGATTATGTGAAAATGAATTAATTATGTTGAATTTGGTGATTTAACACTAAATCCAAACTAACAAAAAAAACGAAATACAAATTAAAAAAAAAAAAAAAAAAAACATAGCGTGTCAGAACTGATTTGGTGAGACTTCCTTCACTTCCAAACCTTCAATTTTTGGCCTCAAAATTCTAGGATTTGGGATATAAAAGAATTTGGGAGGTAGTATATTACCAAATCAGTAATACTAACATAGTGAAAAGATAAACAAGTTGATGCCTAAAATAAAATGAATTTTTAAGAGAGATAGGTGTTGATTACTTGTGAACATATATAAATTTTGTTGTGCATGTCCTCTTATTTGATTGTCTAATATTTTTTGGTATTGAGATCTTGTGGTTTTTGTTTTGGTTTCACGGCTTTAGGTCGTATTGTTTTTTATTTATTTATTTATTTTTTATAGTTCAATTGGGAAACTTCAATGCAAATCCAACTACTTTCCTTTCAGCAACTGATTTGTTTATTTATCAACTTATTTTATTTACTTTTTGTTTCTTTCTTTTGGCAGGTGAGCGAGTTGCTTACTCACTCAGTGCAAATTGCATGCCTCGTGTGATCACTGTTAATGCTGGCGAGGTATTTTTGTCTATTAGTAAAATCTAAATTTTGTTTATCTGTGATTTTGGGTGGGGGGGGAGGTATTAAAAAAAAAAAAAAAAAAAACAAAATTGTACTTTAGCCCTTTGGAGACTTCAAAAACTATTCAGCAAGGAAATTTTTTTTAATATAGCCTTTGTTTGACAATGGAAATTCCATAATAAGGTCTGGACTTAAAAATGTCAAAACATCCAATCCAACACTCAATTAACCAAATATTATACAAAATAATAAAGGGTGGATTACATTGTACTCCTTCAACTATTTGGCAGGAGATTGGGGCTAATTTAATGACAAAAAGATAAAATAAATTAAAAATTTAATAAAATAAAATATCACATCTAAATCATAATTATTTTACTCTTTCTCTAGCAAAAGTCTAAAAAATCAAAAAGTCTAACCTAAACAAACTTTTAGTCCCAGACTAAAATAATCAAAAATTAAAAAATCAATTCATTTTAAGATCATTGTCATTTTATCCTCTCTAACAAAAAATAATTATGTTGTACTCCCTAGTCTTCTAATTTGTCTTGATTTCAACATTCGGTATACATTTTGCTTCGAAAAATATAACCACAAAGTGGCATGAATTATATATGCCAATTTTATGACATTTATTCAAGTATATAAACTTTTTCAGCTCGCTGCTGCTTTCCTTCTTTGGATCACTACTACCCACTCATTCTTCTGTACATAACTGCTACCTACCAGTCTGCCATACTCCCTCTCCTTTGCCGTCCAACACCATCCGTATAAGTGGTTAAATCACTTAAAACAAAAATAAATGCAATAAAAAGGTGTATGAGATTTTTTACATTTGTCATAATTGATATTATATAAAGGCCTATTGAAATTATATAAAGGAAAAAAAGTCAAAAAATTAAAGAAAAAAATTGAAAAATCAAATTTTAACTGTCTTTTCAAAACATTCCAAAATTATGAAGGGAAATTTTATTATACACGTTCCTTGAAAGAGATATACTATATGTACTCTTAATTATATCATTTTTTTTTTATTATTTAGTTATGACTCATGAGATGTTCATTTATATCTCATGTGGTATTTGATTATAATTTTTTTAATTATAACTTAAAAAATATAAAATTATTTAATTATGAGATATATATAGTGTTTATTGTGTATCATAGCTTTTCCTAATTATCAAATATAAAAATAAATCATTCGCATATAATTGAAGTGACGGCCCAAGTCACAGCTCTTCCAAAGCATCAAAAAACTAAAAGCAAAAAATTTGGAGGCACTTTTTAGAGGGAAAAGCTATAAGACAAACGAATCAAACCATCTATATATATATATATATATATCTCATTCAGGTTCCTCAAAATTCGATCTACTCCTCCAAAAATCAACCTACGAAACTACTAATCATTGTTCTCTAGGAGATCAACCCATATTGAGTTGGCAGTCACATGGAAGGGTGGCCAACCCACATGGTAAAAGGAAGGCAAAAGAGGTTGGCATGAGTTGGCAAGTCATGAGGCTTGAGTTGGCAGCCATGAGGCTTGCCATGCGCCAGCAACAAAGGAGAATATTGGGCTGGCAGCCAACACACCCATGAGGCCTCCTCCACCTTCTGTTTTGGTGTATAAAATGGAATGGTGATGGTGAGTTAGAAACAGGGCATCATAGCAAATCAGAGAGTGTGAGAGAGTGTGTTATATAGAGAGACAGTGAGTTGAGAGTGTGTAATCTCCTCCATTTGTTGATATATAATATCGCTCCCGTGGACGTAGGCCGGTTTGCCGAACAAAGTTAAAAGTCTTGTGTTTTTTGCTTGTGAGTGTCCCCTGGTGTGCCCAAGATTCGCAACAATATGTATGTATCATGTAGTGTATAAATAGCACAAAACCAATCAAAACCCTAAAACAATATTGAAAACTGAGAAATAAAAAAGACCTCAATAACCCGATTCGAAGATGTGGCCTTTTTGCGGCAAGAATGGACGGTCTTGAACTGATCAACATCGAGTTTCTTATTGATGAACCCAACCAAAAAGTAAATACTATCGGAGGGAGGCAAATCAACCTTGATCTCATCAACATCGAACCACAAGAGCAACTTTTGAACCTGAATGCCCTCAAGGTGGGTGATAGAGCCGTACTTGAGCACCCCTGTAATTCGCTTTTCGTAGTAGACCAAGTAGTCGAACTGTATGTAACATGGCTTGTCTAGATCGACCACGAAGTTTCCATCGTCGTCGAGAGAGTAGGACTTGACGGTGTCGGGTAAGAGGCCGCTTGGGAGTCCGAATTTGGGCAAAATTTCGTAGACAGTTGGGGGTTCATCGGAGGGTTGAGAAATTGCGGAGATTGAGAGGGTGGAGAGGATGAAAACGAGGAGAGCCAGTTGGGGTTTTGGATTGATCGCCGCCATGGTTGCTGATGGATCGAGGTTTTAGAGAGAGAGAGAGAGAGAGAGGGGTGTTGAATTGAGGGGTGTTGAATTGAAACATGCAATTTCTTGGAAGCTGGAAAATTGAAATTTGATTGACAACTTGTCTGTCTTCTTTGTTTTAATTTTGGTACGGCCGTTTAATTTAATTTTATATCAATTTTTTTAAAGATGAAAAAATTATTGCACGTGTGCCACGAGTTCATCAATATGACATTTATATTAAAAAAAAGAAAAATGAGCCGTAACTCCAAAATCGTGGTTCAAATGTTGTTTTGGGCATTTTGGGTAGTCTGAAATAGAGGAAAAAGAGAGAGGGAAGAGAGAAAGAAGAGAGAAGAAGAGAAAGAGGAGGGGAAGAGGGAATGGAGAGAAGAGAAGGCTCCTCCGTTTCTGCTGTCGGTCGAGCCCCTCCGCTTCGTCGCAGCACCAGCGATCGTCGCAGCAATCGCCTTCGGTCCAGTCGAGCCCCCCTTTCGTTGCAGCACCACTGACGTCGGCCGAGCCCCTCCCCTTCCTCCTTTCTCCTCTCTCCTCCCTTCTCTTCTCCCCCTGTGATTATACCCCCTCCAGTCCTCCTCCTCCTTCTCCTCCTTCCTTCTCTTCTCCTTCTCTGCTGCTGAAATTGGATTCAAGCCAATTTCGAGCTCGACAATTCGAGCTACGTAGCAGTTTCGTAAAAAAAATTACTTAAAATGTGGTAAATTACACTTTACTCTTTTGTATGTTCGGTTCTTTTCTTATTTTGATTTTTGAAATTTATTTATTTTGATTATTTTGATTATTTATGTTTTAAATTTTTCTTAATTTATTTTTAAAATTAATTTATTTTAAAAATTAGATAAAAAAATAATATATTAACATTTACGTAATATAAAAATATTTTATTACATATAAACTTAATCTTAATAATATATTTTTTATGTTATGCGACAATTATTATAATATTTTTTTGTCTAATTTTGAACATAAATTAACTTTAAAAGTAAATTGAGAAAAATTTAAAACATAAAGGGTCAAATGAGAAAAAAAAAAATTGAGGGCTAAAATGAAAAAGTAGCCAAACATAAAAAAGGTAAAGCGTAGGGTTGCATTTGGTTTAGTTTTAGAATCATGATTTGAATATAGAGTTATATTTTGAGTTTGTGAGTTATTGAATCATGATTTGAAAAGAAAAAAATTGTTTGGTTTTGAGTTTTTGAATTGAATATTGAATTTTTGAAATGAAAAAAGTTGTTTGGTTATGAGTTTTAAAAAGACTTTTCAAAACTTAATTAAAAACTTTATAATTCATAACCAAACACACAACTCAAAATTTTATTAAAAATTTCACACAACTCAAAACTCTATTGAAAATTCTGTTCAAAATTCATAACCAAACTATTTTTAAAATTCAATTCAAAAAAATAATTTTTTTATTTAAATTTTTTTTAAAAATTCTAAAAATATTTTTTTTATAAAATAGTAAAAAAAGTATGGCATTGTTTGGTTTGGTTGTGGAATTATAATTCCACTCTCATATTCCAAGGCTTTGTTTGGCTGTAGTTTTCTAAAATTGATTTCAACCCTACATTTCAAAACACAATTCAGAACATATTTGATAAACCAAGAGTTTTTGAATTTTGAAAAGAACAAATTGGGTCTACCTGGTCGTTTGTCCGGACATCCTCCGGTTGATTTTTTTCAATTGCAACCTATTATTAAAAAAAAAATTATATTTGTTTTTTTTATATTTTTTTAATATAGAAATTATTTTTTTAGATCAAAATGACAAATTATTTGGCCATTTATTTAAAAATAACAAAAAAATAAATAAAAATTAATTTGTCACATTAATTTTTAAAAAATAAAAAAACATTTTTAAACAAAACAATTATTTTAAAAAATTTACAACCAAATATACAATCAAAAGTAATTTTAAAGCACTAGCTCAATATTTCTTTTAACAAAAAATAATAGGTTATGTTTGGTTTGGTTGTGGAATTATGATTCCACCCTCATATTCCAAGGCTTTGTTTGGTTGTAGTTTTTTAAAATTGATTCCAACCCACATTTCCGAACATATTTGATAAACCAAGAGTTTTTGAATTTTGAAAAGAATAGATTGGGTCTACCTGGTCATCCGCCCAGACATCCTCTCAGACGTCCGGTCAGTTGACCAAAACAGTGTATTTTTTTTTTTCAATTGCAACCTATTATTAAAAAAAAATTATATTTGTTTTTGATAATTTTTTAATATATAAATTATTTTTTTAGACCAAAATGACAAATTATTTGGCCATTTATTTAAAAATAACAAAAAAAAAATTAATTTGTCACATTAATTTTTAAAAAATAAAAAAAACATTTTTAAACAAAACAATTATTTTAAAAAATTTACAACCAAATATACAATCAAAGTAATTTTAAAGCACTAGCTGAATATTTTTTTTAAATATTTTATATAAAAAATATTTTCAGAATTTTTTAAAAATTTTTAAATAAAAAATTTATTTTTTTGAATTGAATTTTAAAAAAAGTTTGGTTATAAACTTTGAACAGAATTTTTAATAGAGTTTTGAGTTGTGTGAAAATTTCAATAGAATTTTGAGTTGTGTATTTGGTTATGAGTTATAAGTTTTTTAATTAAGTTTTGAAAAGTCTTTTTAAAACTTATAACTAAATAACTTTTCTCATTTCAAAAATTCAATATTCAATTCAAAAACTCAAAACCAAATAAATTTTTTCTTTTCAAATCATGATTCAATAACTTACAAACTCAAAATATAACTCTATATTCAAATAAATTGTTTTGCTTATGGTAAGTTAGTTATGAGAAAGACTTTTGGAAAGATTCCAATTTGGGGGGAGGGGGGGAGGGGTTTCTATATGCTAATTTAATTATTAAATCGTAAAAAATTAGAAATTACAACCATTTATGATGATTTTTTTATTATTAGACAAATTTTTAGACTAAAAAATGAGAACAAAACAATAAAGGAAATGCCATATATACAAAGATTTATTACCTAATTTTCTTATCACTAAACATAAAAACATGGTTCTATCTGCATTTTTGATTGGCACCTGTATTTTTGTTTTCATTTTTATTGTAATTCTGGAATGATTTTATAAGAATAAATGCATTTTGACTTTGCAAAAGCAGTCCTATTAACATTGTTAATTGTGCTTATATGGGAAAAAAAAATCAAGAAAGGACATCAGTATAATCTATGTTTACTACAATAAGCAGTATTACTACAATAAGCAGTATATATCTTTGTTGGTGAAAATACCAAAAAAATTATATTTTATTGATAAATAATGCAAAAAAAATGAGATACAAATAAATCAGGCTGAGGCACGGATATCTCGTTTTCTTTAAGGAGATCAAGCCCACTGCGGTAGGAAGAATCCCAATACCAATGCAGTAGTCACAAAACTATGACTTGTTCCCTCTAGAATACAACAGCCCGACCACTTGTCGTATGGTTCAGGCCAACTCTGCACAAGATGGTGAACCCAAAGTTCCACCAAGAAAAACACCATTCTTTGCTAGTAATCTCTCTTGTATAGAAAATAGTTGGTGTGTGTTGGTGTAGAAAAGAGTAGATGAGAGGGACTATTTATAGGCCACTAGGACCTTACAGTTACACCAAAAATAAAGATGATCATTAAACTAGAGAAAATGGAGAAACTCCAAAATTAACTCACCACCAAGGTCATGAATTCTAATTAATCTCCATTTATAACCAAGATAAGAGGTTACCAAAGTAATGAAACCACCAAGGTCATGAATTTTAATTAATCTTCATTCATAACCAAGATAAGAGGTTACTAAAATAATGAAACTCCATTATGAACAAGATATACAAATAAATAAATAAAAGATATTAAAATGGTCTAACAATCTTAATAAATATGGTACACCTGTCTTCCCTGAAGTCCTATAAAATCTATTTTGCTTAGTTACAAACATATATTTCAACAAAAAACAAAAAACCTGAGTTGTGTTTGCATCTATTAGAAAACAACCATGAAGACCCTCTCCATTGCTCTAGTGGTGCTTGCTCTCTTCATTACTAGTGGTATGGTATTTTAATATTTCAATGTCATCTCTTCATTTATCTTTCACTTATATAGAAAAACAAACAAATTTCAAAAATTCTTTACATTGGATTCTTGATGTTGCTTTGGTGAGTTTTATGCTTACAACTTATTAAAAAAAATAGCTTAAACAAATTAGGACAAAAAAATAATAATTATCGTAATTCAAGAATTTTGCCTAGCATGAAAAATTGTGATTGAGATTCAATTACTGTATTGTAGAATCCATGTATAGATTCGAATACGATTCATATTTGTTGAGTAAAATTCAAATACAAATTTCGGATACATAATATTAGTGCATTATTTTTATATAGGGTTAATTACACTTTCTACTTTTAAAATTTGACTCAAATTTTACTTTAATCCCTATAGTTTTAATTTGAATAATTTGATTCCTACATTTTTAGACTAGTTTCAATTTAGTCATTTCATTAAAAATCTTGTTAATCTTATCTGTGTACACTTTAAAAAATTGACAAATGTTCAAAAATTATTAATTTTAACTCCAATTTGGGGACCAAAGTGTTCAAACTATAGAAATGAAAAGTTTAATTAAACCCATTCAACAAAAAATTGAACTTGGGAAATGCTAAAGTTATGGTTTTTTGTTGTTATATATATGTGTGTGTGTATGAACATGAATGTGGGTGGTGATTGAATGATGGAATGTAGGGATGCAGCAGGAGGAGAAGAAGCAAGCAATGGCAGCATAGATATGTGCGGCGGTGGTGCCGGTTGCATTGCCATGCGCGGATGTTGCCTGCAATGCAGAGTGTCTGAAGGAGCATGGTAAGTCGGGCATAGTGTGTTGGAAATGGTTATAAAATTCTGGATAAAACCAGAATTTTTTCCTAAGTTCGGTCTATTTTTTAGGTGGGCCCCGAGTATCGATTTACTCGGGTCAAAGTGGTAACGCGTTCTATGCCGCGTTGTGATTCACGGGGTATATTTGGTTGCTCAAAACCATTACCGAGTGAATGGGAAATTGAAGCCAAAGTGTGCT